CTGGCATGCGTGCGACCCGGGTTCGATCCTCAGCACCACATACCAACAAAGATGTTGTGTCCGCCGAGAACTAAAAAATAAATATTAAAAATTCTCTCTCTCCTCTCTCACTCTCTCTTTAAAAAAAAAAAAAAAAAAAAAAATGAAAACGGCTGGGAAAGTGGTTCAGTGGTTTGGCATCCCTAGGTTCAATCCCTAATGCCAAAAGAAAAATAGCTTAAAACAACAACAAATAGTTATTATTTATTTCACAATTTCTGTGGATCTAGAATTTAGGATGAGCTTAGCTAGCTAATCCCAGCTCACAGATTTGAGAGTTTGTAGTCCTTTATGTTAGCTGGGCTATAGTCCTCTGAAGGAGTAACTGGGCTGGAGGATTCCATTACAAAACAGATGACTCACATGGCCCACAGATCAGGCTCAGCTGCTGGTGGGGGAGTGGTGCCACTTGGTGGTGGCTGCCTACTCCACAAAAGTGATCCACTAGAGCAAGGCAGAAGTCACGGTGACTTTTATGATCTAACCTGAGAAGTCACACTCCACCACGATATCCTAATGATTATGTACAGGTCAGGCCCATTTCCCTGTAGGAGGGGATTGCACAAAGGTACAAATACCAAGAGGCAGGAATCACTGGGGACCATTTTGCAGGTTGACTACCCTAGGTGCTATTTTAAGTAGTTTATTTTTATCTCATTTTCTGGTCATTGCTTTTGTAATCTTTTTCCTTTTTGTGGCATTTAATGCTTGAATCCAGTAATCTTATTAACATTATTCTATTAATTGGGGAATTCTTTTGGAATTTTCTAAGATAGTCTTCTCTAGATAGTGTTCCCTTTCCAATCTTCTACTCCTTTTATTTACTTTTCTTAACTGCACTGACTAGAACTGACAAACATAATGTCACAGTCATCTGCAAATAATGATTTTATTTCTTAATCTTTTTGTTTGTTGGTTTGTTTTGTGCTGAGGAGTAAACATGGGTCTTCATGAATGCCAAGCAGTTGCTCTACTACTGAGCTACACCCTCAGGCCTTTTCCTACATTTATTTTATCTTGTTTTACTGTCTACAGCCTTCTAGCAATGTTGAATAAAAACAGGGATAGAATCTTGTCTTATTCATGGTTTTTTTTTTAATGTTTTAGTTGTAGATGGACACAATACCTTTAATTGATTGATTTTTTTTTTTTTATGTGGTGCTAAGGATCGAACACAGTGCTTCCATATAGGCAGGCGCTCTACCACTGAGCTACAACCCCAGCCCTTCCTTATTCATGATTTTAAGGACATTTATGTGTTATGAGTTTTTAATAGACATCCTTATGAACTTCATATTTTTCCTATTCGTAGTTTGATAAAAAGTTTTAAATCATTCAGTGGATATTGAATTCTATCAAATGTTTTTTATGCATGTTTCTCATGTTATTTTTCTCCTTTAATCTGTTAAGGGGAGTTCCTTTGTTTTTTGTTTAGTTTTCATGTTGAAGCAGTCTTATGTTTCTGAGTACTAGTAGCCATTTCAGCATAGTTCAGGCCGAGGGACAGCACCAGGTGAGGGCTCAAGGTTCCCTGTAAGCAGTGATTCCTGAAGTGGGCCAGGTTCCAGCCAGGCACGGAAGCTCTTGGCAGAATGTGTGATTCTCCACTTCATACATACCAGTTGTGCGTCCAAGCTGAGAGTATGATTTGCTAGAACGATGCAGAGTACAGCATATAAGGATGCGACTGTACACTGTTGCGCATCAGTGTTTCCCCATTTGTAAAAGCATCTCATATATTGTGCATATGAGGGAAAACAAAACAACACACAACAGTCAAGGCACATCTGGCATGGATGAGCAGCAGTCAAGAAGGTCCAGGTGGGGTTGTAAGCAGTCACTCACTCACTCTTTAAGTATTAACAGTCTGACATCTGTCCAGAAGTTTGTTGTCTGGGAGCAGTGGCATGGCCTCTAGAAGCCCAGAATGCCTATAGAATCTGTTTCGGGTGGCTGGTCCAAATGAACTTAGAACTACAGTTCACACAAGGAACAACACTCATGTCTCTTGAGTTTTCCACCTCTTGTAAACCATATTACTGACACAGACAAGCTCCTTTAAAAGGAGTAGCTACTGGACAACATAACAGGTTCCCATCTCAAAGGGAAAAAAATTTGGGGGGGCTGGGGTATAGCTCAGAATATCTGCTTAGCATGCTTAAGGCCCTGGGTTTGATCCCTAGCATATCAAAAAAAAAAAAAAAAGAAAAAGAAAGAAAGAAAGAAAGAAGGTAACCAGCTGTGTCTTAGGAACTCTCTCAGTGTACTCCATTGAGTATGTTACCTTAATGATTCCCGTGCTAATGACATTTCTTAAACTGAGTCATTTTTTGTACTTCAACCTGATCAGACATCCCAAGTCTAGATTTTCTCCTTKCCAAGTACGGACAGAACTTTCAAACCTGAATACCATGTAAGGCCTATATCTCTGAATAGGGGCCTAGTACATAAGCAATCATCTGTGCCTTCTTTTTCTGAGCAGATCCCGAATCAGCAAAGTGGAACTCTTCAGATCATTCCAGAAGCTGCTGAGCAGCATTTCAGAAGACAAGTGGCCAGACTCCCTCAGGTGACGCTGTTGACCCACATTTTTCATGTTTGGGAACATTTCTGTTTTGGTTTGGGCTTGTGAACAGCAGGAAGCTTTGGCAAGAATGGTGGTTCAGCAAGCCAGTTGGGCACTTAATTATTGACCACATGTTCTTCTGCAGCTCTGCCTGCAGAGAATGGGAATTTGGAAGGTTTGTGTCTGGTCTTGCTGACGTGAACAAGGGGGACATTCTTGAGTCTTAAGTCATAGAAACAAAAGCGATTTTTTTGCAGTGACCACAAACATAAAACAGGTGATAGAGATGTGGGTTTTTTTTTTTGTTTTGTTTTGTTTTGTTTTTGGTGATGTTTGGTGGAGATTGAAGCTAGGGCTAGGTAGGTGCTATACTGCTCTAGAAGATTTTGCACCATAGCTGTTTTCAGGAGCACAGTGCACAGGTAAAGTTTCAGGTTGTCATATATATGGATCCCCACCCCTTAACTGTAGAAAATTGATCAAACAACTGAAATCAATGTCTGGTAAAAGAAGAACTTTTATGGGCTAGGATTGTGGCTCAGCAGTAGAGTGCTTGCCCAGCACGTGTGAGGCCCTGAGTTTGATCCTCAGCACCACATAAAAATAAATAAACAAAGGTATTGTGTCCAGCTACAACTAAAAATGATATTTTTTTTAAAAAAGCAACTTTTCTCTGTGCTGTGACCAGCAAATAACTTGGGTCTCCTCAGATCTTGCCAAAGAACAAAAGAGTAAAAACAGGATAAAAGTGAATTAATGAGACATGAACCTCTGCTTCTTTGGCCATAAGAGGAGTAGTTTCATTAATCATGTCATAAGATAGTTGAGAATATGTGAAATATTGCCTATAAACCACTTGACCAAGACCTAGCTTATTATTGGGTTTTTATAACTGGTAACTAATTGTATTTGATAAAAATATTCTATGAGATACACATTAAAGAAATCATTAGTGCTATGGTTGTGGCTTACTGGTAGAGCACTTGCCTAATGTGTGAAACACTGGGTTCTATCCTCAGTACCACATAAAAAATAAATAAACAAAATAAGGGTATTGTGTTCATATGAAATTAAAAATATCTTAAAAAACATTATTCATATACTTATTAAAGAGGCTAAGAAAGACAATTTAGGAGGGACTGCTATGGTGGAATATAGACTGGGCTCAACTGCATATACAAGGACAAGTAGAGACTTAAAGCCAAGGAGCAGGGGAAGGGATCGGTGGGTGGAAATTACTAAGCAGAAACAACAAGACTAGTTAGGGGGAGTCTTCCTGGGCCTAACACACAGGAAGTTCTTGCTGAAGATACCAAGAGTGGGGTAAAGAGTTTAATTTTGGCGGTGATCCAATAGCAAGGGTGGTGGGAGATTTTTTTTTGCTAAACTGACCCAGCAAAATTCTTGCTTAGAGGGCTAAGGGCAAAGCCTAATGTCAAGGCCAGTCAAAAAAAGAACTCAAAGGATCCTGACTCAGTTTGGTCCAAGAGTTTATCAGGCCAAATGCATTGCTGCAAACCTATAATCCCAGGAGGGGCAAGCAGATTGGAAGTTTAAAGGCAGCCTGGGCAATTTAGTGAGACTGTCTTAAAATTTTAGAAAATTTTAGCTGGGTGCAGTAGTGCACGCCTGTAATCCTAGCAGCTCAAGAGGCTGAAACAGGAGAATTGAGTTCAAAGCCAGCCTCAGTAACAGCAAGGTGCTAAGCAACTCAGTGAGACCCTGTCTCTAAATAAAATACAAAATGTGGTTCAGTGGTTGAGTGCCCCTGAGTTCAATCCCTGGTACCAAAAAAAATTTTTTTTTTTAGAAAATTCTTGAGCAGTCAGAGGTGGCTAAGGGATTTGGGAAGAATGTTGTCTGGCAATATATAGGAAAATATGTATATGATAGGAGTTTTCCTTTTACAGTAGTGGGGACTGAACCTAGGACTTCCTGCATGCTAAGGGAGCACTCTGCCACTGAGCTACATTTCCAGCCTTTTTTATATTTGAGACAGGGTCTCACTAGGTTACCCAGACTGGCCTCAAACTTGCCATCCTCCTGCCTCAGCCACCTGAGTAGCTGGGATGACAGATGTGTGCCACTACCCAAACAATGGAAAATTCTTTGTAAGGAAAAAGGTAGCCAAGAAGTTTCTAATCTTTAGAGCCTCTGGTAGAAAACTTTAAACAAAAACAAACTTAGTTATTCTGCCTTTATCTGATTCTACCAGAACCATACAAAACTAGTATTCTATTATTCTGTTCGTTTTTACTGTTTTAGCCCATGTTGCTTTTATATGAATTCTCTACAAAGAAGACAGTTGCTCTGGGGAAGTACAGTGACATCCTTACGTTTCTGGTCTCTCAATACAATTTCTCCAGCTACTTGCTCAGGTGTCTTGGGCCCCAAGGGTGAGTGGTTCCATGAGAACCTGTGTTGGTATGTGTGCATTAGGTTGCAGAAGTTGGACACCTACCAGGAGCATAAGGAGGCTGCATCTGCTTACCAGGAAGCCTGGAGCGCACTCCGGAAGCAAGCCTTTGCATCCTGGATCAGAAACCCACCAGACTATCACCAGTTTAAATGAAAAAGAGAAGTTTTTAGAAGATCTGCTGTAGCAGGACTCTTCATGTTGACTGCCTCTTCCTTCATGCAGGATAATCCTTAAGCTTTTCTAATGGCTAAATTAAAAAAAAAAACAAAACCCTCCTCCCAGAGGACTGTACCTCATTTTTGTATAATGTAGATGGAATCCAGAACATAGCAGTCTATACTTGACTGAGAGCTGAAGAAGCTCTTTGCTAAAATGGCATCTCACTGATGACCTGGGCATCTGAGTTCCATTGTATTTTATTAGAGTTTGGAACATGACGCTATAAAATCACTCTCCAGCAGCTCAGTTTTATGTGTTTCTACATTGATTCAGCAAGTATTTATTGGACTGAAATGATGTGTAATATCTGAAGCCTTACAGCTCATCAGGCTTAGAGAACATGAATTTTGTATCCCCAGCCTCTCTACCTCTGGGGAGCCATCCTTTTCTCAGGCCTCAGCAGTCAGGCTTGGTTGAGGCTAACTGGACTCCGGGGCTCAGGAATGTGAGCCTGCTCTGGACGGCCCTGTTTTCAGCATTGTCAAGAAAGATTCTCTTTTGGTCAGAGGTGTGAGGGCCACATAGTCTTGGAACTGTGGTGGCCGACTTTTCCTACCAAGTAGAGACAGCCAGGGGAGGAGGAAAGCAGCCAGGAGGACCAAGCTCTAGGGACATGATTTGGATGCCTGAAGCTAGCAGCCACCCTGGACCTCAGTTAAGTGGCACAGATTCCTATTGTTTTGATTAAGCCTCTTGGCATTGGTTTTCTGACAGCTAAGAGTTCTGTCTAAAAGGCCACAAGTCCCTATAGTAAATCAGCAACAGACCTAGCAACCAATCCTGTTGGACTAACAGCTCTCAACTTCTTCTCACCTTTAATAACATTGGACTGAAAATAACAGCTCTCCATGTTGGATTCACTCAAGGTTGGCATTCTTAATAATTTTAAATATTTCTTAATAACAGCTTTATTGAGCTATAGTTCACATACCATTAAATTCACCTACTTAAAGTATACAAGTTAGTGATTTTTAGAATATCCACAGTTACACAGCCATCAACCGTAGAACATTTTCATCACCCCTATAAAAAAACTTCATGTTAGTTTTCAAGGACTTTCTTAGTAAAGTACCTACCACAAGCTGCATGGCTCTAACACAATAGAAATAATTCTGTCATTTCTGAAATCTAGAAATCCAAAATCAAGGTGTCAAAATTGAATGGGACTGGGCATGGTGGCACATGCCTGTAATCCTAGTGGCTCAGGAAGCTGAGACAGAAGGATTGTGAGCTCAAAGCCAGCCTCAGCCAAAGCAAGGTGCCAAGCAACGAGTAAGGCCCTGTCTCTAGATAAAATACAAAAATAGGACTGGGGATGTGGCTCAGCGACCAGGTGCCCCTGAGTTCAATCCCCGTACCCCAACCCAAAAATAAAAAAATTGAATGGGACTTATGTTCCCTCTAAACCTAGGAAGGATCCTTCCCTGCTTCTTCCTTGGCACTGTTGGCTCGCAACAGTCCTTGGCCGTCCTTGGCCTAGCTACTTTACTCCAGTTTCTGCCTCGGTCTTCACCTGCCCTCTTCCCTTTGTATACCTCTGTCTTTACCTGGCCCTGTAAGAACTCCAGTCATGTGAATTAGGGCCCATCCTAATTCATTCTGATGTCAGTGAACTACATCTGCAAAGACCTTATTTCCAAACAGGTTCCAGATGGATGTGAAATTTGTGGGGGGATACTGTTCAACCTAGTATAATACCTATTAGCAGCCTGTCCTCATTTTTTTCTCAACTCCCCAACCCTGTGGCAACCAATAATCTATTTTCTGTCTGTGATTTTGCCTGTTCTGAACATTACATGTAAATGGAATAAAACAACATGTGGTCTTTTGTGACTGGCTTCTTTCATTTAGCATAATGTTTTCAAGATTCATGTTGTAGTATGAATCAGTACTTTATTCCTTTTTATGAAATGTTTAGTTGTATGGATATATAAATGTTTTTTTTTAAATTAGATCATTATTTGATGGACATTTGGATCATTTCTACTTTTGGCTCTTGTGAATAGTGCTTCTGTAAACATTCATGGACAAGTTTTGTTTGTTTGTTTGTTTTTGGTACCAGGGTTTGAACTCAGGGGTACTTAACCACTGAGCCACATCCCCAGCCCTATTTTGTATTGTATTTAGAGACAGGGTCTCACTGAGTTAGTTGCTTAGCAACTCACAGTTGTTGAGGCTGGCTTTGAACTCTTGATTCTCCTGTCTCAGCCTCCCAAGCCACTGGGATTACAGGTGTGCACCACTGTACCCAGCTCATAGATAAGTTTTTGTGTGAATATATATTCTTAATCTTTTTAATTATAGGAGAAATACTTTTTTTTTTTTCATACTGGGGATTGAACCCAGGGCCTTGTGCATGCAAGGCAAGCACTCTATCAATTGTCCCCAGCCCAGGAGTAATACATTTTTGACACAATAAATCTTTTTTTTTTAACAATAAATCATAATTGATTTTTTTTCCATAATAAATCCTTTTAGATAGCTAGTAAGAAAGGCAAAAACACCACTACCTGAAGGCTAGGCTCTGCAGGATTCTGCTTTAATCCGGGGGATTCTTTTTCCTGACAGCAAACCCACACTATAACAGCAGGTAGGACACCTGGGCAGGAGCTTTTACCCACCGTCTTTTTTTTTTTTTTTTTTTTGTACCAGGGATTGTACCCAGGGGCACTTAACCACTGGGCCATATCCTCAGCTCCCTTTTTTTGAGACAGTCTCGATAAGTTGCTTAAGGCCTTGCTAAGATGGTGAGACTATTCTTGAACTTGTGATCCTCCTGACTCGGTCTCCTAATTTGCTGGGATTACAGGAGTGTGCTATCACACCTGGCCAGAAACTTTTAAAGAGGCACATATAGAATAGTATGATGGGTCCCCAAGAATGTATTACTCAGACTTAACAAACATCTGCTATAGGCTAATGGCAGAATACCTAAGACAGGCCACCTATCTCTGAGGCCTCCGTGTCTGGCAATGGCATTAGGCAAGCACAGGCATAATGTCCATATGGGAAAAAGCTCAAAGGACAACACACTGTTTATTGTTATGAGTATTGATTTGTCCAAATTAGGATCAAAACAAGGCCTACCCAGGGTATTTGATATGTCTTTTAAGGAATCCATAACTCTATATCTTCCTTTTTATGTATCGAAAAATGGGTTATTGTCTTGTAAATTTTCCCATATTTTGATTTGGTTGCTTATTTTCTTCAGGTTCCTCTTGCTGCCATATTTCCTGTACATTTGCAGTTATATGTAGAGACTTAATTATAATGATCCAGGGTCAGCTGATTCAGTGTGAACACTTTGTAGGTGATTCTATGTACTCGAGTTGCATCATATCAAAAGGACCTTCATATGTGGTGGTCACCCTTTCTGTGGGGTCAGTTGATCTATCCCACCACCCTCTCACCTTTGATTGTTAGCAGCTGTGTCAGGGATCTCTAAGATTACCCTCAGGTTCCATGATTCACTGGATGGATTTACAGAACCAGAAAAGCTGTTAGACTCAGTATTCCTGCTTACTGTAGAGAAAGAGTACAGGTTAAAGTCAGCAAAAGGAAAAGCACATGAGTGAAGTCTAAGAGAAAACACACCCAAGCTTCTGATTGTCCCCCCTGTATTAACCCTGTGTTTCTGATGCTTTGTCATGGAGGGGAGGAGGGACTTGGCTGGCTGACCCTGAAGATACTGCCCTCCCAGGGCAAGCTAGCTGTTTCCTACAGAGTGAGTGCATGTTTTGATATGACACAAGCAATCGGAGCCATACCCCAACCATCTCCTTTATGGGACTCACACTCTGAGCCACTATGCTTCTGCCCTGATACTCATGGTCAGGTGTTAGGAAACTGGGACAAGCCAGCTATAGTTGCCTCCAATGGCCTGTGCATTGAAGGCTGGATTCCCAGCTTGACCCTGGAGGAGGGTGGTGAGACCTTGAGGAGGAGGAGCCTAGTGGGAAGTCTTCAGTCACTGGAGATGTGCCCTCAAAGGGGGCAGTGGGACTCCAGCCCCTTGCTCTCCCTTTTTACTTCTCAGCTGTCACAGTTTACCACATCCTCACTGCCATGATGTACTTCCTTACACAGACCCAAAAGCAGCAGGGCCAGCAGACCCTGGACTAAAACTTTCAAAACTGTAAACCAAAAGACTGCCCTTCTCAGGGCAAGCTAGCCTCTCCTGTTTTTAAGTTGGTCATCTCAGGAATTTTGTCACAGTGACAGAAAGCTAACACAAGCCCATAGCACCAGAGCCTGCTTACTGGGCCTTGTCCCCTCCCTTCCAATGGAAACCATAATAAAGGCTCTCACCCACTTTATCCCTCACTCCCTCTGCCTCCTAACTGACCCTGGTACTTCCCTCCGTGGCTCCTGTGGCACGCCTTGCCCTCCTCCTCAGATCTGTGAGTGTAGTGAGCTCTCTTGTGAGTGGCAGTCATCTCCTGTTCTCTGGCCTCACTACACCTGAATAATAATAATACAGTTTATATTTTCAAACACTATCCCAGTGTTAGGCATGTGGACAGTGACCAAATCTCCTAGCAATGATATGTGATAGTACAAGTGTGGCCAATTATGGAAGATCATCTGAGCTTTGGATGCTGCTAACATCCTATGAAGCATCCTATGACTGCCCCCCCTTCGCCCCAGATTACCAGGATCAAAATCAGTAGTGCTGAAGTTGAGAAACCCTCCTCAGGCAATGGTGTTTTCAAGTCAATAGTTCCTCTCTCTAGATATTGCTCCAAATTTACACAGTTAATGTTATTTCATTTTGCTTTCACTTTTTAGGGATGCTTTTTAAAAATTAAATTTATGTAAAATATTTATGATTTCAAAGATAAAATTAGGTTTCCTTTTTTTCCCCTTAAGGTACAACTAAAGAGGTCTTCCAAACAGGCGTGGTGGTGCATGCCTGTGATCCCAGTGACTCTGGAGGCAGGAGGATCGCAAGTTCCAGGCCAGCCTCCGCAACTTAGCAAGACCCTATCCCAAAATGAAAAATAAAAAGGCCTGGGGATGTATCTCAGTGGTAAGCACCCTTGGGTTCAAGGGTGCCACCACACCCRGCTCTCATTCTTCCCTTTTGATGTGTTCTGTGAATAGCCTACATCCAACAATTTGTATTTTAGCCACTGTATCTTTTGGATAGATTCTTAGAAGTGGAATTGCTGGTTCAAAACTTAAATGAGGGCTGGGGTTGTGGCTCAGAAGTAGAGCACTCGCCTACCATGTGTGAAGCCCTGGGTTTGATTCTCAGCACCACATATAAATAAATAAAATATATAAAAAAAGAAAACAAATGAATATGTGATTTTACTTCATTTAAATATGATATGGCATATTACGCAGAGGCACATGCCTATAATCCCAGCAACTCAGGAGGCTGAAGCAGGAGGATCCCAAGATCAAAGCCAGCCTCAGCAATTTAGTGAGGCCCTGTCTCAAAAATTTAAAAAGACTGGGGATGTAGCTCAGTGGTAAAGTGCCCCTGGGTTCAATTCCCAGTACCAAAAAAAAATTTAAAAAGTATATATATATATATATATATATATATCATCCTAGTTTTATTTCTAAATATAATGAGTACACAACAGGATCACAACATGCCATTTCCATTTTTTAAAAGGATGAAAGGTAAAGATTTATTTTTTGCTCATATATGCTAAAATATCTGAATAAATATACAAACAACCATCACACAGGGACTCTGAGAAGGGAAAGGAAGTGACTGGGACCCAGAAGTAGGAGAATTTATACTGAAAATCCTTTGTGTTTTGTTATTTTCAAAAATTTAAACTATGTTAATATAGTGCCTGTTCATTTCTTTGATTGATTGTGGTGCTGAGAAATTGAGTCCAGAACCTCACATATGCCAGGCAAATGCTCTATACTGAGCAGCATCTCCAGCCCCAACATACTGCCCCTTAGTTGGAGTTTGGGGGATGGAGCTCAGTGGTAGAACATGTGCTTAGCATTCCTGAGGGCCTGTGTTTGATCTCCAGTGCCACAAAAATAGAATAATCAGCAAGAACTAAATTTTGATTCCTCATGGAAAGAAGAGGAGATGACGTCCTATGTCCTGTGGGCCTTTTTGCATTGCAGTATGATGCCGAGCACAGCCAGCTCACAGCCAGAATGCCTGCCATTCTAAGGGTGAATCTGACGTGCTAACTGGGACGGATCAGACATTCACCCCTGAGCTGGATCAGTCAGCTCTTGTCTGGGCCCAAGACCCGAGCGATCTATCTGGGTTCAGGGGTGAATGCTTTTTATGTTTAATAAACATCCCAAGACCCTTTCAGGCAGTTTTGCTAGTTGGTTGAAGTTGATATAACAAATAAATAAGAATCTGGTCAGTGCAGAAACGGCCAGTCCAGAAGCCAGCTTACAGTCAGATACTATCCACATATTTGGATGTCCTTCACCTCATAGCAACAGGTGAGCTACGGATACACTTACCAAATGAATATAATAAAATTCAAAGTAAATACAATTCTGTGTAATCTGCCAAATATACAGGATGATGTTCCCTCTTAATTTTTTCTTTTTTTTTTTAGAAGTGGAGAAATCAAACCCAGGGCCTCTTAGGCACAGTAGGCAAATGCTCTACTACTGAGCTAGTAAATCTTTTAAATTATGAGATAAAGTTTTCTGAATTTTAAACCATAGAAACACCAAAAAAGCTGGGCATGGTAGTGCATGCCTAAAATCCCAGTGACTTGGGAGGCTGAGGCAGAAGGATCACAAGTTTAAAGCCAGCCTTAGCAATTTAGGGAGGCCCTAAACAATAATGAGACCCTCTCCCAAAAGAAAAAAAAGGGCTAGGGGTGTGGCTCAGTGGTTAAGTACTCCTGGGTTCAGTCCCTGGTACAGAAAGAAAAAAGAAGAAAGGAAGGGGAGGGAGGGAGGAAGTAAAGGAAGGAAGTGGGGGAAGGAGGGAGGAAGGAAAAGCAAAATAGCCTTGGGAGTGTTGTACAGGGTTGGAGGATCTCACAACATGCTTTAAGCAGTTCTGCTTGTAATTCCACAGAATTGTCCTCTTTTTTTTTTTTTTTTTTTTTTTTTGGTACTAGGGATTAAACCCAGGGATGCTCTGCCACTGAGCTACAGCTCCAGCACTTTTAAAATGTTATTTTTAGATAAAACTCAGTTACCCCAGCTGGTCTCAAACTTAGATCTTCCTGCCTCAGCCTCCCAGGTTTCTAGGATTACAGGTGTATGCCACTGTGCCTGGCACAAAATTCTCTCTTCACTAACCAAATAACAAAAAGCCTTCTTAGATTTGGCTCTTTCGGGGACTGTTACACTTTCAGCATTACTGCTGCTTTGTCCTGGGTTCATAAGTAGGTTCTAATGTCACGACTACGTATGTGTCTTTTCCTTCGAGTTTTTAAAACTTGGTTGATTTTAATGGTTTTGGATATATACTACATGTAGTCATTTGTGCCACAAACCATGGGGTTAAATGCTTTTTTTAGTGGCGTTCATCAGCGCCAAGCATGAGCTCACTGTCTGGGGAAACTAAGCTGCTGTGGAGAAAATGGGTGGCTCCGGCCGCCAGCGCCTGTGTCAGAAGAAACGCAGGTCCTGTCTGATTCCGCGCTGCCTGTGGCCAATGGAAAGCTGTTTCCACCTGGACCTTGACAACATTTTTGGCTCTTAAGACAATGTTCCGAGCAAGCCTGAGCCAAAGTTTTCCAGTTTCTAAAACCCACTTCTCTTTCTGACAAGTGAATTATCTTTCCAAGCCCCACAGCCCCCCTGGGATGGTGAGAAAGCCACAGCTGTCAGGACAGTCCCATTGGGCACAAAGCAGTGGAACAGGGAAGTGGCTTCCAAGTGGAAAGTTAATGTGTATGTGCCGCCTTCAAGGGCTTAGGCAGATCTCCCAGAGAAACCAAGCCAGTTTTCCAGAAGGAATGGCCGAATAAAGAGCCAAGGAGGCAGATATTTTGGAGAAAGCATCTTAATTTTCCACAAGAAGGGTTTTTATAGAGCTCATATTAAGGGAGCATAGTTGGCCTTCACATTCCTATGCACACGAATCTCTCTAAACCAAGATATGTCCATATGAGGCTAAGACTGCCTTCCTCTAAGGCTATCAGGATGGATCCAAAACCAATCTTAAGGATTACCTGTGATCCCAAAGGTGAGGGGACATTCTGCCAGGAAACACCTCAGGGCAGCAGGCAGTCATTCAAATTCAACTTTAATTTTTTAAAACTGAGACCCCAGAGGCTGGGGGGTGTAGCTCAGTGCAGAGCGCCTGCCTAGCCCATGGGAAGCCCTGGGTTTGATTCCCACCACAAAACTAATGGAAGAGGACAGAAATCAGAGCAGTGGTTGGTGCCTGATGTTGGGGAGGGAGCAGTAGAGGGTGACACAACAGAACTCTCTAGATGAGGCAAACATGCTGTTTTAATTGCAGTGTTGATTCCTTGGGTATAAATATTTGTTTACATTTATTAAGGTCTATATTTTTGTATGTAATCATACCTCAATTTGAAATGTGTTTTAAAAACAAAATTCCTTGCTGGGGAGGCTGGGGTTGTGGCTCAGTGGTAGAGCGCTTGCCTTGCGTGTATGAGGCACTGGGTTCAATTCTCAGCACCACATAAATAAGTGAATAAAATAAAGGTCTGTCAACAACTAAAAAAATTTTTTTAAGTTTTAAAACAATTTCTTATCTGCTACTTGGTACAATTGAATGACTTGGGTCTAGATATTGAAGTAATTGTGTTCTGTTGATTCTACCATCAACTTCCTATGTGGATGTGGTGACTTCTGACCTCTCATCTGCTCTACAAAATGAAGTCCCAGGAATTAGGATGCTATACTACAATAAGATTGCTCTTTTTTTTTTTTTTTAAAGGAAGGGTCTTACTAAATTGCCCAGGCTGGTCTTGCTTGAAATTGTGATCCTCCTGCCTCAGCCTCCTGAGTGCCTGGGATTAAACCCATGTGACACTATACCTGGCTATCATAAAAATGTTTTTCACTTTTTTTTTATTTGTTCTTTTTAGATATTCATAAAGAAAACTTAACTGGATATATAACGCAATGAGAAACTTTCAAGAACTCTACCTATTTATGCTGTGACATACAGATGGCCGCAGTAGTCATATTGCTGATATGGATATGGGAGAAATGGAAAAAACTTTTGTCTTAATCTGGTAACCCAGGCTCTGGATTCAGATGTGGACATTTTGCCACTTGTCCAGATGAGCCAGCAGAGACAGGAATCAGCTTCTAGAACTAAGCCTGTTCACTGCTTTTCAAAGCCCAAATGTAGCAGAGTGTCTCTGTGGGAAACAAGGCAGAAGCAGAAAATCACTCCAAGAGGGAACTCAGACTGCCAAATAATTGGTCTCAAGCACGAGTTCACTGGACTTTGGCTCATTCCCCAAGGGGAAGAGCTCACAATGGAAACAGTGATGGTCACTTACTCAGGCAGCCAAGAGAATGAAAAGCACATTGAAACCCAGCAGTGTCCCTGCGGGAGAGGTACAGTGGGCCCCTTGGTGGTGAAACCGACCTGACAACGCAGCGGATCACAGAGCCCATTCCCGGCGTCTGTCTTCAGTTGCACAACAGACCTTTATGTGCACCCTCTCAGGAGATCTCTGAGAAATGATACGGCCAGCAGCCTAAGCTTTACCCCACAGCAGATTCGGGCTCAATCTAGTTTGCCCCTTTGCTTTGAATTCCATTTTGTTGATTAAGAGAAAGAAGAGCCCGCTTAGATGTAAAGTCCCTGCCAAAATACAAAAGTCCCTCCCACGCAGGCTTCCTCAGCTTCCCTTTCTTATTTTCGCCTCTTGTGGACTGTTTCCACCTCCAGTCGCTCTTTTCATGCTGTGTTTGTTCCTCAGCTTATCCAGTGCCACTGTGAATGTCCTTCTGTCCTAGCACGTCATTAACTGTTGGGCTGAGAGACCAGCTGGACGGGGGTGAAGGAATGGCAGCACAATCTAAACTGCTCTGACCGTGCTCGCCCACCTGTGCCAAGCAGGCAGATGGCACAGCCGAGCTCTGCGCCTTATGTGAGTTGCTAAGGTGTGAATGCTTGTGTGCCCGCAAACTGTATGTGTTGAAATCCTAACTCCCGATGTGGTGGTATTAGGAGGTGGTGAGGTCTTAAGGGAAGAGCCCTCATGAATGGGATTAGCACCTTTACAAGAGACCCCAGGGTAATTCCCTGTCTCTTCTGCCTTGTGAGGATATAATAAGATGCCATCTAAGAATCGGGAAATCTGCTACCTTAATCTTAGACCTCCCAGCCTTCAGCACTGAGAAGTGAATTTGTTGTTTATAAGCTATCTAGTTTATGATGTTTTGTTGGAGTAGCCCAGACATGGGTTAGTATTTTGTTGGCATATACTTTGGCAGAATTCTGTCCTAAAATAATACTGTGGTAAAGGGCCATAAACCCAGATATCTTCAGGAGTAGGAAATAAAGAAAGCAAGTGGAGCCAGGCGTGGTGGCTTTGGAGACTGAGATAGGAGGAGACTGAAACAGAAGGATTACAAGTTCAAGGCCAGCCTTAGCACCTTAGCAAGGCCCTAAGCGACTTACAAAGACCCTGTTTCAAAATAAAAACTTAGTGATAAATGTGGCTTAGTGATAAATTGCCTTTGGGTTAAACCCCCAGTACCAAAAAAGAAAAAGAGAAAGGGAAAAGGAAAGCACGTGCGGTTAACTGGGAAGTATATTTCTTGTTCACACAGGAGAGTTTGTTTTGTTTTTATTTGTTCCATCTAATTATTGCCAGATCCTAAGAATTTTTTTCAGGAGAAGCAAGAAAATGGATTTTTTTTGGAGGGAGCAGGGGGTACTGATGACTGAATCCAGGGTCACTCTACCACTAAGCTACATCCCCAACCCCCCTTTTTTCCCATTTTTTAATTTTGAGATAGGGTCTCATTAAGTTGACTCAGGCTGGCCTCAAACTTGCAATCCTCCTGCCTTAGCCTCCTGAGTAGCTGGGATTAAAGGCATGTTTCACTAAACCCAACAAGAAAATAGGATTTTTCTGTACACTTCTTTGAATTACATGCAAACACAGGCCTTCATTTCAACCATCTGATCTAGCAGAACAAAGGTGGGTTTTGGCATTAGACTTGAGTTTGAATTGTGGCTGTAGGATGTACTGGTTGTGTGTTCTTGGGTAGGTAACTGCATTCTTAGAATGTCAGTGCCCTCGGGCTGGGGATGTGGCTCAAGCGGTAGCGCGCTCGCCTGGCATGCGTGCGGCCSGGGTTCGATCCTCAGCACCACATACCAACAAAGATGTTGTGTCCGCCGAGAACTAAAAAATAAATATTAAAAATTCTCTCTCTCTCTCTCTCTCTCTCTCTCTCTCTCTCTCTCCCCTCTCTCMCTCTCTCTTTAAAAAAAAAAAAAAAAAAAAGAATGTCAGTGCCCTCGTCTTTGAAATGGGGGTTCCATAACACACTTGGCAGTGGGGTCACAGGGATGTGCCAAAATAATACACAGCACAGGGAAGAGGAGGGTGTCTGCCACGCTGACAGTGACTAGCATGTGGAACTCCAGCCGAGGCCTGCCCCTTCTGCTCAGAAGTGACTCCAACTTGCAGTCCTGACTTCTGAGAGTTTTTGCTAAAAATGTAAGAATCTGACCTCAGGAGAAGAAAACTGGACAGATTTGTGGAGCCTCTTGCTGCACGCCAGGCACGTGCATCTTGGCTTCCATATGGTGCTGCCTCCCACATCTGGAGCAGCAGCCTCTCCAGGGGCTGAGGAGGGGGAACAAGCCTGATCACAGAGGCATGTAGAGACCTCCTACGGAAAGCGTGGCTTTGCCTCAGTGTCAGCAACTAAGATTGAGTTTTTTTCCTAAGAAATAAAGATGAAAAGGAGTCAGTTGTACTTTCTTTTTTTGTGGGTACCAGGGATTGAACTCAGGGGCATTGGCCACTGAGCCATATTCCTAGCCCCATTTTGTATTTTATTTAGAGACAGGGTCTCACTGAATTGCCTAGTGCCTCACCATTGCTGAGGCTGGCTTTGAACTCACGATTCTCCCGTCTGGGCCTCCTGAGCTGCTGGGATTACAGGCCTGCRCCACCATGCTTGGCAGTTGTGCTTTTAAAAGCTTTCTACAATTCAGTCTAATGAAGAGTGAGTTCATTATCCTTGAAAGAGATCCTTGGGCTGCCTTTGACTCTGGTCCACAAGCCCATTCCACGACAGTGTGTTTCAGACACTGCTGCAAAATTAAGATGTGTTAGTGCTTGCTGAGTAGGCTCTCCGGTCCAAGGAGGGCTATCCCTCCTGAGCCTCATAAGTGTGCCAGTCCTTGTATCCTGCCCCCAAGGTACTGGATAAGGGATAGACATCATGTGCTCCTTGATAGGAGCGATGGCAAGTGACTTCACAGTGGAACAGCACAGCCCTGGGGAAGGGCACAGCATTCTCAGGAGCAGAGTAGGAAGTGCAGAGGACTAGGAGTCAGCAAATAAAAAGAAATGATGGTAGATTTGGGGACAGTTTTGCAGGAAAGGTATTTGAGGCCGAGAAATAGCCTATGTGAAGCTGAAGATGAGAGCAGAGATGCCAGGCTGACGGGCCCGGAGAGGCTGGGATCAGCTGACAACGTGCTTGGGTGGAAGGGGGAGGATTTTTATGTCTTGTTAGACTGGTTTTGTCCAAGTGACACAGTACTTCAGGAATTTGGGGAAAAGGATCGGAATGGAAGTTACATTTGGGAAGTTTGACCTCCTCTGCGGCAGAAAGGACAGATTGCAGGAACAGGAATAGTGGCAGAGGCCACAGTCGAGGGGTCACTGCAGCATTTTGAAGAGAAATGATGAGACCCACACAACAGTGGTTTGAGGAGCCCAAGGGATGGGGACTGACCAGGATTCACAGAGGCTGTGAGGCTGAGTGTGACCAGTGGATGAAGATGAGGGAGCATTGTGTTCCTCAGGTTTTTACTGTTGTGACAAAATACCTGAGAAAAATAATGTACAGGAGGAAATCTTAATTTTTGTCCTGTGGTTTCAGAGGTCTCAGTCCATGGGCTGCCAGGTCATAGCTGTGGGCTGGAGGTGAGGAAGAGCATTATGGCTGGAGGGTGTGCTGGAGAGCTGCTCAGTTATGGCAGCCAGCAGGGAAGTAGAGAAGAGGGACCAGCTACACCCTTCTCAGGCATGTCCCCAGTGACCCAAGTCCCCCAGATAGGCCCCACCTCCTCCAGTTTCCACCACCTCCCAGTATTGCCACCCAGGGATGAATGCACTGATGAGGTAGAGCCTCACGATCCAGTCACCTTCCCAAAGGCCCAACCTCAAACATTACTGCACTGGGAACCAAACTTTCAACATGTGAGCCTTTAGGGGACATTCCAGATCCAAATTGCAGTAAGGGTAAAGGATGACTTCAGGTTACTGCCTGAGAGAATGGAACACGGTGCCATGTGTCAGGAAGGGGTGCTGGTCAGAGCCTTCTATGATACCACAAGATGAGGGCCTCCCATGGACATCTGGAGGGGCTGTTTGGAGCTCAGGACAAAGTGGTAACTGGAGTCAAGAGCATGGTCTTGGACAATCTGTTTATAGGAAGTCGTTGAAGACAGGGGTCGGGATGCAGTCATCCAGAGAGAATGTACAGAATGAGAAGAGGGGGGCCCCTCTCTCCTGAGGATGGAGCCCTGGGGAAATGAAAGTTAGGGAGCAGAGAAACACAGGACTGGGTGACTGAGAGGCTGGAGGAAAATAGGAATAGCCAATTGGGAGCTTCAAGGAGGGAGGCATCTAAAGTGCAAAATATTATGCCAGGTGCAGTGGCACACACCTGTAGTCCAGTGACTTGGAAGGCTTGAGGCAGGAGGACTGAAGTTTGAGGCCACCTTTAGCAACTCAAGGAGACCCTGTTTCAAAATAAAGAAGGGCTAAAGGTGTAGCTCAGTGGTAGAGCACCCCTGGGTTAAACTTTTAAAAAAGAATTAAACATTAAAAGAAAGGCAAGGAAGATAACAGCTGTAAAAAGTGTCCAATGGAGAGATTATTTTGGTAACCCCCACAAACACAGGGCCAGGGAAGTGGCAGATCTGGAAGCCAGCCTCTCTTGCACTGAGAAGTAAAGGGGAAATAAGAAATAGGGGCTGGGGCTGGGGTTGGGGCTCAGTGATAGAGTGCTCACCTTGCATGTGGAGGGTACTGGCTTCCATCCTCAGCACCACATAAAAATAAAAAAAAAAAAAATACAGGTGTTGTGTCCATCTACAACTAAAAAAAATATATATATAGGAAAAAAAAAAAAGAAATAAAGCCAGCTGCATTCACTCCTCTGAGAAGGGGCCTCTCTCTGTTCTCACTGTTGGACCTTAAACCAAAAAAAGTTACAAAATATTGCAAACATCAATGTAAAAAATAAATACCCACCACTCAACTATTTTTCTCTATTTGCTTCAGGTTTTTATTTTCAGAACTGAAACATGACAGGTGTTTTTAAATCCCCACATTCACCCATCACTAGCCCTATTCCCCTCCCTCCATGTGGTAACCACCATCCTGAACTTGGTGTTTCATTCCTTTGCACAGTTTATACTTGTATTACGTAAGTTTATATCATTAAGCAATATATACAGTTCTTTTGCACATTTAAAAACTTCTGAGTCTTGCTTTTTTCATTAATCAGCATTGGAGATTTGTAGATTTATGTTCATATCTGCAGCTCTTGTTCATTCATTTTAACTGCTGTATAGTATTCCTTTGTATGAGTATGCCACTTATTATCTGTTTTCCTGTTGATGAACATTTATTTCTAGTTGGTTTTGTTTTTTTTTTTGCCATAAAAATGAGGTCACAGTGTTCAAGTACATTTCTTGTTTTTGTGAGGCTATTTCTAGAATATATACATAGAAATGGAATTTGATAGGCCATGGATTATATACACATTGAACTTTACCAGATATTTGCAACTTGCTTTTGAATGTGATGGTGTCATACACTTAAATAGGGTGTGTAAGAATTCTAGATACTTCACATCCCCAACATTTTATATATTGAAAAAGTTAAAA